AATTGTAATTCAAAAACAAGTCTCCGTTATCCTTTTTTTACTGTCGTCCTTAAGTCATAATGGATAATGCCTGTGGTGATAGAAACCAAATGCGTTGGGGATATTCCATTTATCAGGCAAAATCTAAACGCTGATGAAATACTTGTCAGCAACTAAGGAGAATCAGTTAAGGGTTAGGAGTTGAGTGCTTGAACCCATAATGTCTCAACTCCAACAGTCTTGCGCTGTCTGCATCCAGTTGTGGGAAGGCAGTAACCCTTAATACTTAGAAATAACTTTAATGTAGATTTAAATCAACCCGATAAAAATTCGATAAAAATTATACAAAGTAAAACATCCAATCTCCACCCTTTCAATTGATGTTATATAATATAATATTCTTACAATAGAACTAAGCCACCCTTAATTTCTACAGAACTCCCAATATCCACCCTTTTATTTGATGTTAACCAATATAAAAGACCCTTACTGTTCAAGCATACTCTGGATGAGATGAGACAAGTCCAGTTACCTGACCTGGTCTTTCCGCCCCGGTATACTTTCAGTGTTTCATTAATTGTCATTTTTAGAATAGTTTAGTACATCGGAGCGGAAAGATTTTATCGAATTTTTATCGGGTTGGTTTAATTCTACATTAAAGTTATTTCTAAGTATTAAGGATTACTGCATTACCACAACTGGATGCAGACAGCGCAAGGCTGTTGGAGTTGAGACGTTATGGGTTCAAGCACTCAACTCCTAACCCTTAACTGATTCTCCTCAGTTGCTGACAAGTTTTTCATCAGCGTTTAGATTTAGCCTGATAGATGAAATATTCCCAACACATTAGCCATTATGACTTAAGGACGACAGTAAGAAATGGTAGCGTGTTTTTGAATTTCAATTATATTGTGCTGTTTTAGGTTTATATTAAATCCATTATTGTTGTTTTATAGCGCCGATTTTAATAGTCTATAAACAATTAATGTATTGCATAGTATTGTATTGATTAATTTACACACATACATACATACACACACACTACATATATATATATATATACATCACCTATAAGAAGTTAACCTTTACAATATAAGAATATATTTAAAATTTGTAATAGGTAAGATTAAACAGTAAACTCTAAATGTTATATCAGTATTGCATTCTACCTATTAGAGTCCACGAATGTTGCTGTTAGTCTCTGCTTAGAACGATTTATTTGTTTTAATCAATATATGATTAATTGTATAATCAACAAGTATTCAGTATTCGGAATATAGTATGTTGTTGCCAAAAGATACTATCTCTATTGACTCCAAATCTTTAACATCATTGTACATCTCCAGGAAACATAATGTATTAGAAGTACATCTCGTCATTTATAACTTACAACACACAAACATAAAAAAGTATATATTTTTGAGAACTGTCTTTATGCCGTCTTTCCAAAATGTTTTATTTTAATTGAAATTTTAATCCTTAGCACAGATGATTTTTTTCGGTAAAATAAATCCTTGTACAGATACCTTATACACATATTGTTTTTATTTCTCTCTGCCGGCAGCTGAAAATCCTGTTATGAAGTGTTGTCTTCCACAAGCAACTGCACGTAGAGAACCTTTTGTGAACAAGCCAATCCAGTAGTAGGATTTTCTAATACTGTTTTCTTTTTCCAAACAAACACACACACCAGTGCTGGACAATACTGATAGGTTACCAACTTGCCGTGAAAATGGCAGTGTTTGAAGATAAGGTCCAAACAGCTATTTAGGGTTTACTGGAAATCGGTAACAAAAAAATAAAATCAATAAAAGGTTTAGTGCAAAGCTTTTATTATCGAATTGCTAAGGAAGCGAATATTCGACTAAGGTATGCTGCTCAATATATTTTTAGAATTACTTTGACCTATTGTAGCTGAACTTGAATATATGAAAGCAATATATACTTAGAAAATTAGGTCCTTAAAGGGAATTTATATTTATTTTTTCTATTAAGTTCTTGTTTTATGTTTGAACAGACAATAAGACCACGGAACTTGTATATGACTGTAATTATTGTTATACAAACAAATCTTATTACAATTAGCTAAGATATCTATGATTAGGAATTAGTAAACATAGATTTATCTGTGATTGATATAGAAAGAAAAATATGTAAGACAATTCAATTTGTTATTCTACGTTGTGTATGTGGTCCATGTTACGCTTTAATGTTTTCGGTTAAGTTCTGTTCCATTCAATCGTATTGTCTGTCGTGTTCTGCATCACGAGAAAGGTAGATTCGAATAAAGCGCTTGACTAATGCATATATTTTTAGTCATTGATTAATTTTATTATGCAGGTTATAACACCAGCTATGTTCGTGAGCTCAAAACGTTAACAGTTACATCTACTTCATTTGAACAGTAATAGTACAGGTTTAACTCTACAAATGTGGGCCAGTGCTATGTATTGATTTCCAGCCTAAAGTTCTGTGTACAAATTACCTTATCTTTCGAACAGGAAAAACGGAACTCACAGAAATTTTGATATTTAGATTTCAATTAAAGATACTACAGCCACTTCTCATTCACTTCACTGTCCATATAACGTTACCTATTTTATCTCTGTTTACACTCAAACAGTATAAAGGAAAGAAAATAATTTTTTAATAAGTATATCTTACGTCAAAGTAGCTCTATTTTTCCCATGGATAGATAGAAAAGCTTAACTTTTAGTAAGTATATCTTACGTCAAAGTAGCTCTATTTTTTTCCCACGGATAGATAGAAAAGCTTAATTTTTAATAAGTATATCTTCCGTCAAAGTAACTCTATTTCTCCCATGGATAGATAGAAAAGCTTAATTTTTTAGTAAGTATATCTTATTTCTCCTAAAATTATTATGAACTTGACAATTATTATAGTTTTTTTACGTGTGAACTTGACAACGTTTGATGATTAATACAGTTTTCCATCTGATATCTAATTTTTTTAAGAACATTAATATACTCTACTTATCTATTGTTATTAAATAGATAACTAAAGAACTATTTGCATTCAAAATAACATACAAGTAATATAATTTTCAGTTCACTTTTAGCCCTTTTGTTGTTTTACAGTAATATCCAAACATGTTCTCAGTGTTCTAGTAAATGTTTGTACTATCAAGGAAGTTTACTGGATTAGAAACTAGTGGTTAGTAGAACAGGCTTAATCACGAATAAAATATCTTTAAGTTGTAGTGATGTGTATAGAATACAAACCAACAGATGGTAATTTAAAGATACTGCAGTTACAAAGAATTGGAAAATCATTTACTCGTATAACTGGCAGAGCCTGTTCGTGCGATGTTTGAAGAAGAGAGGAATATAGGATATGCACACTCCACATGTGTAATACCTTTGATAAGAATGACATTTAAATTGAATTTTGGTTAAAAGGTTTAGTTAGTAACTAATACTTTCTTTTTAGTGAGAATTTGTGCAACATCTAAAATATTGTAACTGTGTTTTAATAATATTAAATTGCAATTTATTTCATTTGATAAAAGTTAAAAACAAAAATATTGCGTAATTTACTATTCTTGTGTAATTATTTGGTGCTCAGTAAATCGGCGGTAAGGTTAAGGGCTTGCAACGGTAAAATTATGGGTATGATTCCTGTGGTTGGCACAGTGCAGATAGTCCGTTGCGTAGCTTTGCGCTTATATAATACCAAAAAATTTAGTAATACATTTACAATAGCGTTAAGATTGAGACTTTATAATATGATGATAACTAAAAGCATTTTATTGTAAACTAATAATTAAGTAAACTGCAACTGCAAATACTGAAGATCAGAAGTAAGAATAAAACTTCATATTTTATGCTTTAATTCAGAATTCCAGGGACGCCAAAACCATCTTAATAATAGTTGCTATAAAAATAATAAAAAAGATACATATTATTAGATTAGCTTGTTTGTAATATTGCTTGATACTGAAAAAGTTAACTTTTCGTTAGAAAATATAATCTTGACACAGCAGTATGTAAATATGGACATGATGCAAAGGCAATTTGGTGTAATCAAGGTTATGTGCATTGTAAAAACACGATTAAAATCTACTTATTTGTGATTGAACGCTGTGAATGTATTATCAATATTTTGGACACTATAATGTAATTTTAAAAATTGTTAATCTGTGTTATTTTAAAAAAAGGATTGGTTAGTTACGTGATAAATAATAAAAAGATGTACAATTCGGGAATTTTGAATTTTGAAAGTAATTAAAACCAGTAATCGTTTTTTGCTTTGTCTCTTAAAAGGTATGTAAGTAACACAAACGTTTATATATATATATATATATTCAGGAGCTGAGGAATTACCAAAATCATGTAAATAAAGTAAAATATATTCAGTCTAAAAACGTTCAGTAAATATAGTATATGTCAACGTGTCATATGAACCTGACTAGATCCAAAACATCTTGAAATTGAAACAATTAGGTTAGAAAAATAATTATTATTGTTTTTACACGTACTTAGATGTTTCAGTAAATGGTAATTACGTCTCAGTTGCTTGAAATCCCTAGAAGATCTAAAAATATGTTCATATTAATGAAATTATTATAATACCATGGAATCAATTTAAAATCTTAGTAGGCAAATTAGTGCCATGAGTTTTGTTATTTAGACTAATAACAAAAAGAATTACGTTCCGTCAAAACGTAAAAACCAAACAAAAAAGGCATGTACACACACAAACACACACACACACATATATATATTATACAAGCGTTTTGGAAATAAGTTCTTCATTTGGTCAATCGGGTTTTGGATTGCTGTTATAGAATCAGTGTCCGAACTGTCTTAAAAATATGACATAATATCTATATGGATATGGTAGATTTTTAACTTTTATAAATTACTCTATCCCATTTACTAGTAAGTTTTGTAATTATTTTAGGTAGCAAATGCTAGAAGCTTAAATATGTCATAAATTTTAAAGCTTGAAATATTGCGTAGCTGAAAACAATCTTTTATATCGTACACGAACTTAGAAATCAAATCATATACATATTCCAGAAACTAAATAATTTTGAGCTTACATTTGACTTTACGCTTTTATTGCCGTTCAACAATGACAATATGTAACCTTCACAGTAAATAAATGTTCATGAAGCAGCTTTCTTCATAAATAGTCACTAAAACAACGTAGCTTTTGACTTGAACAGAGCCTATACATTATATACAATATTTCTGGAATAAGTAAATCGTACACGCTCTTTCGCAACCGGTCTTTCATCTTTATATTTCAACAGTTTCTTATTCAGTATTGTCTCTGAATCCTCAGGAGTTGTTGTGAAGAAATGCCACATCATGTAATGCTACACAGGCTTTACAACAGTATTATTACATCCATTGACAGCGACTAGGAGGCACTGATAATGTATACAGCAGGACTGAGTATCACGACTTCCAAAAAAATGGCAAGTAACAGAGATGACAGCAACAAGTTAGGTCAAAATTTACGAAAAACACATTATACTACACTATCTCTTACACATTACAATAATCATATATATATAGACACATTATACTACATATTTTGTTATACATTTTGATAATGAGGCAGAGACACTGGAAGATAAGAAATTAGGTGGAATAACAACTGTTCCTTGTTCCTGTTGAAGTATAATACTACTACTAATAATAATACTAGCGACAGATGGTACGAAGTCCTTACTTCTATCATAAAATGATCCAGTTGGTTAGGTTATAGTTCATGATACATCTACAGTCTAGCGAGGGTCTAAGTCACAGGCTACAGCACCACGATAAAAAGGCAGCTGATCACAAGGTGTGGGAAAATGTTAAGATCTGGATCAACATGGTTATATATATTCCACGAAGAAAAACTTATTGCATAGATGGGAAGGTGACATCAGTGATGTCACAGGGTCACTGGTTTCCCAGTAGTTTCCAAACGTACATTTTAATTTCTTCAAATTTCCTATCACAGGCTAACGACCAGGATTGTCATTCTTCAAGTAAACATTTGGGAAGTCTGGCTAGAGTTTGTACTACTCACAGATCTGACCACTGGCGATGAACACCGCCTGTTGTAACGTTATTTGTTCATAATCGCAACAGTTAGTCGCTGACGCTGCATACTGACCAGTAAAATCGGACAAGGAAGCCCGCTGTAGTGACAAACATGAGTATTAAATGGGCCAGTTAAGCTGTTGGTGTGTATGAACCGGCCTCTGAGCAACGACAGTATACTGTTAAGTCACAGCACACTTTCCTCCCACTGTCAAACATGGGTCGCTAAAGTTCCGGGTTTCAGGTGACATGGGAGGTTTTGGCTAGTGATGTAATGATTAGAAGGCAGAGAGGGTACTTGAGGGGTAGGACTGTTACCCCTGGTGCTTCCGTAAAGGCCCTGATCTGGGGGTAGATTAGCCTGAGAAGTCCTCCTGTACGGGTTAGCATAAGCTGCTCGGAAGTTGGGATCCAATGGATGGCCCAGGTCATTAAGGAGTTGGGGAGAACTGTCATAAAGTCCACTATCTCGACTAGAATTTAGGTGAGCTGAGGGAGGATTGTAGTCTCGGGAATAGTCCACATAGGGAATGTACCCATTATTATTCTGGGTCTCCTATGTAAAAGAAATAGAAATAATAAGATCAAAAGGATATACTTTTCTTACTCAATCAATATAAAATACATAGTAAAAATTCACTACGGCGAATTACGTCAAGAAAAATTTGTTAATTTAAACAGTTCTGCAGTAATGTTAACTATGTTTCAAAGGCTTATAGTCTTGAAAATTTCTGAACAACTTCGCTTTTTTGCAGAAATAGCTTAAACATAATCTCTTAGCAACAAGCTAGGAGTTCCTAATACGGAAATCTCCTAGTACTTGTGAAAAACAGAAGGAAGTTATGACTTTTCTATTTTTTTCAGCAAACCTAATTTCTATTCTTTTTTTCGTCACTTTTTCTTGTGCTGTGAATAAATAACGAAAACTAAACAACATAAACATCTCCTCAGATCATTTTATCAATAATTATCTTTCTGAAGATTCAATCTTACGTTCGTAATACAGCCATAAATAGATTTACATTCGCGATGGGATTGGTGTACCACTTTTGAATGAATCAACTGTATACTTCATTTACGTGCATCATGGCTGCTAGAAAACAAAGACAATGTTTTTTTCTCCATGCATTTATAACGAACCACAGAATGAAAACCGAAACGATAACGTTTTCATTCAGAAAGATACTACACATCTAAATTTCAAATTATTCCGTACAAGTCTCTATAAGAAACGCAGTGACTCCAACGTATACTATTGCCTGAGAAAGACAAAAGAGCTCATAAACTTCTGTTTGCCTACCATATAAATCATTCTACTAAACTTAAAAAAGCAATATATATATATATTTTGTCTTTTCGTACATCAATCATTTTAAAATAGAGCTAGGTACTTATTGTTCAGATTGTCTAAACAAAAAGTTCTGTATTTATCGTAAACCTTGCGAACTTTACGATACAAAAAGAACATTTTCCTCTGAAGTTTATGTCATTGAATAAAGTGGGACAAATCGATTATTTGAGCACTAACGTAAAAGAGGAAGGTACTGTTGCCTTGGCTGCGTCGTTGTGCCTGAAGCAAACTAATGGTTGGAAGTTGAGAAAACAGTGAGTATTACCAACCAGTTTTGGAGGAAATCTTGGTTCGGTGTAGTCCATGTTGTATTTGTAGATATCTGGAGGATCATGTACACGTGTTGTATCACTCGTTTCCTCCCAACTCCTTTCATGTTCATTATTTGATAAGGATGAGGCTGTTCGTATTTCCACCTTAAGGTCAGAATCGCCGGATGACGCTGAATCAGACTGCTTTGCTTTGTTATCTGTTCCAAATTCATTACCTGCAAAAACAACAGTAACGGTTGTTGGAACTAACATCTTGGCGATAATGCCCGTAACAGATGGATTTATCAATATATTAACGTTTCCACAATAACGATTAAATTATTAACGATTAAATATTTAAGCTTCTTCTATCACAATTCCTAGAATTTATTCCCATTAAAGAAACTGACCTATAATTTCTAGGACAACTGCTATCGATCTCTTTAAAAATAAAAGTAACGTAAGCAACTATTCCATCCTCAGAAACCTGCCTACTTATCAGAAATGAAAGAGAGAGTTTTAGATATCTGAGCCACCCCAACCCCTGTTATGAAAGCTTATGATGCTAATTACCGGGTTTTGATACCCGTGGTGGGCACAGCACAGATAACCCACTTTGTAGCTTTGTGCTTAATTACATACAAACACATGTCTGATCTTTAACTTTCTTTGAAACGCTGGGGAAAACTTGTAAGCCGGCTTACCAAAATCATAAACATTGCATGTCAAATTATTGAAAGAAATATCCGATCAAACTTTTAAAATACACCTGAAGCGTCACGTGAGCTAACAGTATAGATATGAAATACAGGACATTGTATATATATTGTAAGAAGTAATATCACAGCTTAAAAGACAAATAAAACCATGCTCTTATCTATAGCGTATAGGAGAGTATAGAATTAACTAACTATATCTTTATTATCCATACAAAATTCCAAGTTCAATTAAAAAAGGTCTCGCTCTCACAAAAGCTCTTATAAAGATCCAAATAATTTTTTTGCTACATATTAATTCTCCATACAGAGTAAGTACAAACCACAAAAAAAATCTTTAGCTTCAGGATCACACTAGGTAAATCTAGGTGTTTGAATATACATATTTGCTTATATTAATTGCACATGAAATGTTACTATTCAAACTTCGTCTTCATGTACGATTATTATGGGTGCGTCAATCAATATTATACTTTAAGAAATGAAAATTCGTATGTAACTTATGATTGCTACCATCTACTCTTTATATTGATTAACGGTTTTATTTATTTTACAGTATTATTTTAAAGTTTAAATATACATGTTTTTAATTTTTGTTGTTGTTTCACTATTACTCTCCTTTATTAATTAGCATCTTAAATGAGCTAAAGTTAAGATATTTTATTAATGTTCAAAATACTTTGAAATTAAAGATTTAAACTTTACCTTTAGGTGTAGGCTTTCTACGGAGACAAAGAATAATCACTATGGTAACAGAAACAATAAGAACGATGCCTCCTATCACACCAGCCAAGATGATCAACATAGGAAGACTCTCTGGATAATCAGAAAGTTGTTAAGAACACCTGCAACCTTAATTTTGCAATACAACTAATGAAGTATACACAAGCTAAGATTGAGTTCCGTTACAAACATCAAACATTAGGAATTACTCATTGAAATACCTTTTGGCATGGACCATGGCAAAACCCTGAATAAAGTTACCAAAGATGATAATTCTACTGTATTTCATGCGACGATTTCAGCTGAGGATATTTGCGTGTTTAAGTGTGCACACTTTAGATATTTCGTATGTTTGATTCATTCGGTAATCATTCAAGTATAGCTTATTGAAGAAGAAAAATATGTTGTGTTACTTGCTGTTTTGCTTTTCTTCGGTAGGGATTTGCTATGGCCCACACTGTATTCTAAATCAACACCAATGACACATCATTCAGCCATTTTATATTACAAAGACCAAAGCAACAGCGTTAAGTTTGACTGCAGCTTATACTCATAATTAAATGCATCAGAAACATAAGAAACATACACGATTAGTAACTTTAACTTAATATTAAATCTCAATTTCCGCAGAATAACATCTACACAATTTTTTTGTATTGTAAGTAATCTTCTAAATTAATGTTTATATAAGCTGCTAGTTTCTAAGTTTTATTTTTTCAGGTGTGTCTTATGGAATTTTCTGTTAAAAAATTTTTAACATTTGCACAAGTACATGTAGAAATTTATGTGAACTATGTTGGATAAAATAAGTCCCATTCCATGAGCTTCCAATTTCGAGCTGTATCATCTCTTCTCATTAAAATTAGGTTGACACTTAGAGAATGTTAGCCAAAGAAAGTTTATAGACCTTTTGGTGACGTAGACAATTTGATCTCAATTTCAATTATATCAACATCATTCTGTTAGTTTGAAATATTAGAAATATGTTTAATTAAAGACATATATCAAACTCTATAATTTTCAAGTTTTATTATAAGAACTTCAAAAGTTATTGTTTCATCGAAAACATTCCTAACAGTATCCAGTGTATTTTTGTATCTCTAACTACAATTGGTGTATTTTTCAGAGCATATCACGTACTTAGTAGAAAGCAGCAGTTTAACATTTACATTTTCTATACAAAATATTGCTCAAATTCCATATTAGGTTTTTTTTCCCAAAAATAGTTTTTCTGCCCGAAAAAGAGACGCATGAGCAGAGACGATAGTGAAACAAGAGGACACTACTTTCAAATGATTAGTTAAAGAATGGTTAAAATTGGCACACCTTATTAGCTGTTACATGTACTAAGAAAGAAAAGCTTTCATTGTCCAATAACAGATCAAAGCCACACGTGAAGCTGCTTTTTAATTTAACAATAGATGGGAAGCCTAACACAACATGATTGCTTTTTCAAATGTCCATAGAAATGGATATTTTACAAGCAAAAAATCAGGAATAGCTTCGTATGTGTAAGGCGTGGATTACCGATCCCTTCTTCGCTAATTCAATACTTTCGGCATATAAAATTATTGTTCCTGTGATATATATATTTAAGCAAACTTCAAGCATATCAAAGAAACTGTATATATATATATTCAACACGAAACTTTTGTTCAGACAGGATATAGTTTTGAAAACGAAGAGTAATCAAACAGTTTCTGTATTGGAGTTTTCTAAAAATCTATATATTTCAATCCACACTACCTCTTACATGCTTGTTTGGTAAATGATATCTTTATTGACATATTCCATCCACTATTAACAAAATACATATTGCTAAGCTATTTTGTTACATTCTGTAAAAAAAAGTTGGCATAACGATCAGAAACGTTTAGCTACAAAATGTGCTTACCTGTCACAGAGCAAAGTATGGTCGGCACACCCCCGCCAACATCATCACATGCTGAGAATAATCATACATAAAATAAACAAAAATCTATCTCCATGCATCGTGCAAGAAAAATAAATCAAATTAAGTAACAAGTCTAAATTTAGAAAACTGTTTTCGAAAAAACTGAAAAGCATGATTATGTTAGATATAATACGACATCACGGTTGTTAAGGTACCAAAAATTTGTTACAAAGTTAGATTAACAATTAGTCATTTCGAAAACATGCATTCGACAGAACCGTGTTCGCTAGCTACAAAAAAATATACATACTGACAATTTAATAACCAGCATGTAGCTTATATGACAACATTGCAAAGCGTATTTTAAATATTTCAACAACGAACCTGATTGGGCTTCTCAGCATGCAGGGAAGACATGTAAAACAGTTTGATGTGCCATGGTTATCATACAGTAATGAGCTTTATGAAGCATGATGTTTTTTGTGTAGGAGAACAAATAGAGATGTGTTTGTGTTTATAAAATGAATCAAGCACAAAAACATCAAAAACACTTTGTTTAGTCAACGAACCTTTCCTAGCATTACATTACTCTCACTTCATACATAGCTTAGGTTGTATGATTTTGTAGTTCTGTTTGTTTTATTTCTAACGACACCATATGTATTTTTGAATATCAATGATATTCAAATACCATTGCAACCATGCGCGTACTTTATTTCAAAGGTTTTGTACAGTTTATGGTAATTATAGAGACAGTGCCAGCATTGGAAAAAAGTTTGAATACAGAACGAATGTTTCTCTTGTAATAATGATTAGAATTGCAGATAAAGGAAAGAATTGTCTTACTTTGTCTTTTGACGGATATTAGCATACTGTCATGGCCTAAAGAGTTCCAAGCTGAGCAGTTATAGTCTCCAAAGTCATTCTCTTCCGCCTTGTGGATGATGAGGACGTTTCTGAGTCCGTCCAGTAGCGGCTCTGTCACGATCTCGTAGCCCTCAGAGTTGTCTATATCTACTACCTGAACCAAGAACACGTGAAGAACGGTAAGACAAGGAGTACGGATTCTATAATTAATAGTTTGTTTAGGGTGACAGGTGAAAGGCTTAGTGCTAGCTAGTTCAGCCCTGTTAATTACTTACAGTGAAGGGTGCTGTCATTGAAATATGCTAGTCTTTAATTCCAGAGAGTTAGTAAACATTGGAGTCAATAGTGTATACTATCACTGCTTGTTGTCATTTATATGAAATCCTTATTAAAATTCATTATTAATTAGTACAAGAATATTTCACATAGAAAGATCTGAGATACTACAGTTAGAGAAATTTAATTCGGTTGTCCTTTGTTCACTATATCTTTGTATTACCGTTACAACTGAAACAAAAAACCTTGTTATTAAGAATCGCATTGGCTTGTTAACAGAAGAATACAACGTACATTAGCACAAAAATAAGATTACTCGTTGAAATTTTCTGCGTTGTTTAATAATACATGAAGTTGTGTGGCGCTAAGAAAAAGAACATAGAACACATCTGCATATCCTTGATTAATGTTACAGAGTCACTAGTTTGGTATTACTTGAAACTAGCAAAACAGAACTAAACGCTTTCCTTAACCGAACAATAGCTTATGTTAGCAAGTTCATTTAGCCACTAGTGTGGAAAGTCAAGTAAAACACCTATGAGATCTTAAATAAAACAATTTTTAGTCTTTATAAGACACTTTTCAATCACATAAAAAACGTATACTACAGTTGCAACAAAATTTGAAAATGCTATAACTTTCAAACATGCGGTTTCGGTCTACATGTCGTCAAGTCTTGTACTACTTTCCCTCAACCTTTGGAAAAACGCGCACTTTTGCACGTGTCTTCACCATTTGTCAAACACATTGATATGTACATGTTCTGGAACTACATCAAATGTTTCATTTATATTATCATTGAGATTGAAAAGTATAGTTGAACGTGGGGTATAATTCCAGCGCGTTGAGATAACCGTCTTGCACAGTCAATATAGCAATTCAGTAAGAAATCCTCCTGTGCCTCATTGACATAAAGAACTAAATATGCTGGTGACCCATCTTGTTAGAAGAGGCAGATGCCAATAACAGCATTGTTTTCCAGACGTGGGGAGGAAAAATGCTTCGGCATATTCAAATATGCTAGTCCTGTGACTCTTTTACTTAGACGACAGTGCTCTTCACATATGCTGAGTCGTCCAGTATTCCTTTTAGAAAGGACAGATCCTGCATCCTTGAATTGCTTATGTCATCATTTCATTGCATTGTTCATTGGGTCCCGAGCATCGTATACCTATTATAATTCGCACATTGCACAAGAACAACTAAATTCACTGCTGCACAATCACCATTTCGACACTATCAATCACCAAAATCTCGAATCGGGGATTAGGTCAAAATTAATTATATATAAAAAAAACTTGAGAGTTTTCAGGCCAAAATGTGATTTAACGTATGCCTGTAATATAAATATTTATCACCGCTAGAGTTGTTAAAGCAGTAATGGTTCTGTTAAACGCTCCGATCAGTGAAATGACTTCGCAAACAACAAAATGGACTACTGAACAGTAAGTCAGTCATTGCTCATTAACAGAAATCAAGTACGTCTAGACCACTTGAAGAAACTTTATTATATATATGTATCATAATTGAAATGGTAAGAAAAAATGATTGTATGCACAACAGGAAGCAAAGTAAAAGTATCAATACGAATTTAGATCAAAATTTCTGGTTATGATAAGAAATGCCGATATGTAACACAGTTACGGCAAGTGCTTGCCATTTTCAAGCAATTTACAATATCAGTTAACGAAGAGTGACGAAACGTTGTCCATATCTAATCCTTACTAAGTAGATAGCTCATTCAGAAGAATATACCATGTATTTAGCAACACATATTTAGGACATTTATTTTTTCTAAAATGCACCCTTTAATTAACCGTCAAATAAGCCATTACATTCATAATATAAAATAAAACTTGTTACTAAGTTGTTAGACGAGTAATAAGTCCATAACATAGTGTTCTACAAGCTGTTGTGTTGCATGTAGATTTAATTCATTGAACTGATGTAAGTAGTAAAATTATTGATTAAATGAAACTTAATATTCAGGAAATTTCTGATAATTATTTTCCTAGAAACTCACTGAAAAATAATGAAACTAACATGGTGCTAAATTGTGACTGTTCTAGCAACAATATTTTTTGTCTTTTAACTTCAGTTATATTGGTATCCACTTTAAATAAGATACTCCCATTACTAGACATAATTCATTTGCTACTGCTTGTGTTATGCTCTGTTTATTTCACTTAAGCGTTAAGTAGTAGGTTACCTGTGACTGTTTGATCCAAACAACACGGGAGGGTTCTGGTACTGACGTGATTGAACACTCCACTTTCACCTGCTGTCCCTCGATACCATACTGAACAGCAGGACTTTTTATCAAGGGGGGTCCTACAAATAACACAGTTTGTTTACTTAGGTATGTTAATTGCATTAACAATAACCTTTAACTAATATATTTAATTGTATATAAGTTTCCTAACAACGCGGTAAAATAATAACAATATACTGTCAACACAAGGTATTTAATTTTAATTTGCTATTTTTATTTATGTATGTCACAAAAGTATTGAAAAGCTTGAAAAGTTTTAGTGTAAAGATAGAAAATATATAAGTTAGTTATTTACTGCTATACCTTTAATAAAAACCAAGGAGTCTGAAGACAGCTCTGGAAACCCTGGTACTGAAGCTTTACAGGTGTATCTCCCAGTTTTGTCTGGTGTCACTCGGGGAAGAATCAAAATCCTATCTGTTCCAATGATCTGGGAGCTCTTCTCAAACGTCCAAGTAATTTTAGGGGGAGGATTACCATCAACAGCACAAACCAGCCGTACTTCTTTGTCAGGATCTGCTGCTATGTTTTCCAAAGATGATTTAAACACCGGACCATCTGCTCAATTTGAGAAAGCAATCATGGTTAACTAATAAAATCAATTCTCGTTTACAATAAAAATGATGAATCTCGAACATAAACTTAAGTATACTATATGTACATTATTTTATGAAGCCATAAAGTATATAAGATATCTGACAGTATATTTGGTTTCAGTAAGCTATGATGCAAGTATTTTATTTCAAGTTGACTTATATTTTGCTTTTAGCACTCATGGAATATGGAGGTTTTCATAATTTTCCAATACTGTGACATTATTAAATTACATAAACATTTCTATGAAATTATTTTGAGAAATATTAAAATTATGTTTTAAAGAGCTTTGAACATTTATATTAGCAAAAAATTGCATTTACTTCTGTTTCTTCTTGAAAGCGAATTTTGTTTATATTAAAATCGTTTGGTTTGACAAAACGACTAATATTAAGATTCTAAAACAAATTAAAGCTAAAGAAAATGTCTAATTTCACTAAACAATTCAATTCTGACTTGATTATTTCTTTAAACTTATTTATATGATTTTCATGGTCGCATAACCTTCCGAAAACAATTGAATGAAATTAATTAGACTGTCAGAGTTAGTCCAAATTGCAAACAAAAATACTTATTTGATATTGGTTACACAAACAGATACGCTTAAATCCAAATATTGTATACAGATTGGCTTGATTCTACGTATTCATATTTAATCTATGAATGAAGTGTCAAATCAACTGACATTAGTGACATTAGCTTTCATCTAAAATGGACCGAATTTACACTAAATAGCAATCCGCTTAATAGCTTAGCATTTCCAAGTGACAGCTATCCCAGGGGCTTTTCTACAACTTCGGCTATTATTAAAACGGTCCCTCTAAAATATTTCCAAACATTTTCTAGTCGAAACTTGCTGACGGGTTTACGTAAACATCGCAGCATCTCTTGATTAAATTCTAATTTAATTTTACGTTCTTACGTTTTTCCTTAGATTTTAAATGATTCGAAAATAGTATGTAAATTTTACATATCTTCCATTTTCTCCATATGTTTTCATAGTAAGAAAAATATGAATAACGCGTTAGCTCAAGCAAACCAGAATTTTCATTTAAAGGTAAAATTAAAATAAAATACATGTTAAGGAAGGAAGTTCAACGTCAATAGTAAATTACATATATAAAACCAGATCTAAGTTAGTTAAATCGTTTTAAGGATTAATTACTACCGTACATTTAGTTGTGAATTATGATAACAATAGCAATATTAGCTAATTATTGCACTGTTTTAACCATAATGCAGGAACATCTAAGTTTAGAACAATTCAGTTTAAAAGTTTTCTCTACTTACAATATATATTTAAAGTATAAGTGGACTTTGTTGTTCCTATTTTGTTGCTCACTTCACAGCTGACTGTTTGTCCATTAAGTTGTCTTGTCACTTTACGTATGGTGAGTGTAGTGACGTGGTCGTCCTTTATTAGCTCGTCATTCCTGAAAATATACATTAGTACAACTCGTTAGTCTGGATACCTTAAGAGAAATCAAAAAGTACAAGAAAAACAATTCTGAAACTGGGATACAAAAATAATAATGTGTTTAGTAAAAATCACCATTTTCTGATAGCTAACGACTTTTTTTTATCTGTTGTGACTGTTAATTCACAAGTAAGTCAATTAAGCTGACCATATACAACATAACGCATTGGGTGCTGATGTCTCTGTTTTACTCTACAACTGAAGACATTTAATACACAGATTAATTAGAATTCCTTTGTAGTTTTGGGTTTCATATTTCTGTGAGTTTATTCTCGTGAAACTCAACTTATTAATCCTATAACTCAGGAAAGACAATTTGACGATTTCTATTGTAATTTCTCTGCAAGTTTTATATATCATTAAAATTGTATACAAACTAAAATATGTATTTTATTGGTATTTAATTAAAGCTACTATCTCTGAAAAAATAGTTTATGTTCTTGTCAACCGTTGTCTATATTTATAAGTAAGATGTGATTTATATCCTAATACATCGAAATATCACAGGTAGTAGTATATAGCAGTGCACAACACTACTAGGGATGATATTATCCCTATGTGATACCTTCGTTTACTATACAGGTTGTTTATTTTCCAGAACAGGATATCTCCATACAAAGGCAATTTTCGATAAAATTTCTTCAGACTGCAGATGCTTTCTTTACATTTCCTTCAATTTGTTCATTAGGGATTCCAAATCAGAAGCTTGTGAAACATCATTACAAATCTATCATTTGTCCCACACAAGTCAATGTCCAGATTAATGAATAAGTTAGAGGGAACATGAAAACAATTACAGGCAGTCTAACATATATTTTATCAGAAATATTAGTCGCATTGGCTTGCCAAACTTCGCTAGCTTTTAGCATTCAAAACCGTAACTTTAAAGTCAAGTTTATTTAAATTTTCTCCTAAAGATTAACCTTTTACTCTTGATAAATGTAAACACCGAAGTTTCCGGATAATATTTTACCAAACATCACGATTTTTTTTAAATTTATTCTATCATGCTATACTAATGTATGTATCTAAGAAGTGATAACAGTTCTTTTTGTTTGAATAAAACTTTTTGTTACTGTTTTACGTCATTTTACATAGATTAATATTTCGGAATGATTTTAAAATATAACATTTATTTGATAAAATGCTCAAACTTTTTGTCACAGAAAACAAATAAAAATATACTTCGAAATACTCGTGTAAAAACAATATAATCTACTTGGCTTTAAGTTATGGAGAAGAAATCCATAAGCTTATAAACAAAACAAAAAAAATCTCTTTGAAATAAAGCAATTTCACATTAAGCTCACCTACCTGTACCACTTGTATTTTACATCCCCTGGATTTGCGACGGCGTCACAAGTGAATTGCACATCATCGAACTCCGTGATTTTTTTTCTGTTTGCCGTTAAGGTAACTTCAGGGGGATCTGCAATAACCATTCATCATTCTCACTGAGTTATATGGTGACACAACGATAACCCCATTTATAGATAAAAGGGGATAAAGCTTAAAGCCGTTCAATACCACGAGTTAGCACTAGATGCATAGACTGACAACTTCAGGTGCATGCCTGTAAGCAACATACAAGGTTACACTATGAAATAATGTGGCATTACAATTCCTAGGCGCATCTAATTGATTAACCGAAATTTTTTCTTTGTAACTTAAAAACGTGCTGTTGGAGATAAAGAAATGAACTTTGATGTTTGGCTGTTTTTCACTACAAGGTCTATTAGGGATTAAATGCATCTCTAAATGCTATTACTCTTCAGAGGTTATCGCCGCGTAGGTTTACAGTCACCGATGAAGATTGAAAAAAATCAATTTAAATAGTTTTACTTCAAATCTCAAGTGATATATGTTTTGGTTAATAATCGTGATTGTACCTTACATATACTCTGTGTTAGAAATGTCAACTTACTTGATCATTAATGTCATGTAATCATATCTAAAATCTTTTAACAACTACTGTTTCACAAACACATTGATGTTGACAAATCATACTGTTTAGATGTGAAAAAAAGTTGAATAGGAGTGAACAATACTTTTAAAAGAAAAAAGAAGGTTTTTAGTGATAGGGATAGTTAAGTTGAAATGGCACTGAGTCACTTAACATTTTCCAAATACCTGACTGATCGATACGTGAAGAATATTGAGGTAATTACACTCAACATAGTACTGGAGCTCCAACTTCACAAAGCTGGTAGAAAAGATTTTAGCTACAAGAGCACAATAAAAAACTGCAGTGTTCTTAACGTATCACACAAGAAAATTTATAAAAACTAAGTGAGATGAAATCATATAAATACATGTATATAATATATATATATCATTTGTTTCAGAAAGAAGTGAATTCAATTTTCTCAGAGCTCAGAAACGTCACAATTCACAAACATATCACGAAACAAACAAAGACTTAGCAGAAACATTAGGTATAATTTATGCTGGATATGTAACCGCAATAGCAAGTTATACGTAAAGATCTTAATGCCAAAGAAATCTGATTACTTACATTTGACTGCAAGTTTGATTATTGCCACCCTCGGTTGCTTTAGAGCAGGGTTCTCAGACCGACATGAAAACGACTTTCCGTCATGTTCCCGCCTTGGTTTAAAAGTCCATTTGAGTGCAGCATTGGCTCTTTTGTTATCACCAAGAAGTTTAGTATTGAACTCGATATTCTCTGTGACCACGTTACCTTCTCCGTCCAACCAAGCCAACTACGAAAATACATCGTATATGTAAATACACGTATCCATCGATCAATACGTACATATATATAGAAGTAAAAACAAATCCTAACTTTATCGCTTTATAAGTTATGCTTCTTTCTCTGATTATATACATATATATATAACTTATTCGATCTTTCGATATTAAAGAAACGAGAATTTTAGAATGACATATTTGTGCAGATTGCCGTAACGAAGCCACCTTGGCAAGCGTTTTGCTGATAACGAACGATAAATTAGAGAAGAGACACAATATTTTGTCGATAAAAGTTCAAAGGTAAGTATAATTCCCTGTAGTTGTATTACTCCAATGTCCTTTTTACATTTGATGCTAGGAAATGTTTATAATTATACTCGTTTTGTCTAACGTGAGAAACAACACGATCAAAAGATGACATTTAAAACTCGTGATTTCAAGTAGCTTTTAAAGACTAATATCTATATCTTCGCTACTCGTAAGTGATATTGAAGCAAATTCTTAAAGTACTCCATTTGGAGTATAGGGCCTGAACCTGATTAGCATAAGCAAAACGCTTGAGTCTATTTGTCTCAAATAGTACAAATTTTAGTAATACTTATAAGTCTGGTTATAAACCGAATGAACTCAAACTTTATACCTATTCCTCAGAATTAGAATTAGACATAGCTAGAATACTTAGCGATAAAGTTTAAAAGTGCGATTTTTAGTCCAATTAACCGAATGAACTCAAACTTTATACCTATTCCTCAGGATTAGAATTAGATATAGCTAGAATACTTACCGATAAAGTTTAAAAGTGTGATTTTTCAGTCCAATAATCACGAGTATAGTACTTGCGCCTAAGAACTTGGCATACATGCATTATCTAATAACTCAAGTAATAGAAATTGTATTGATCACACTTTTTTACTTATTACTTCCTAAGCTATGTAATCGGTTTCGAGTTTCTGTCTATGTGTGTGGATTCAGGAACTCATAAAACTTAGCCTTTAAGCTATTTCATGTAAATAAGCAGAAAATTATACTTTTTTCTCTCCTATTCACTGGGTTTGATTGAAATGGTAGCATCAGACTACTTTCTTTCATTTAGATTGGAATACGAGAACAGGTCACTCTTTCATTAACATAACTATTTCTTTAATATCATAATTATGTTTTTCTTACCTTACATGTTTGGTAAGTAAAAAATATCCACAATATAGCGTTAGAAACCATCTCAAATTTACATTACTGAGTAAAATTTTGTAATATATCATAATTGATAAAATTGTATACATTTATCTAAATAAATAAAACTCTGTAAATATATACTACATAAAATTATATGACTATAATTAATAAAACATTATACTCTGTCACTGTGTTTCCTAAATATACATCTGTTTGTATATAATTGTTTATACTTATTTCTAACAACCTATACTAGGTTGCTCAATAAACATCGGCAAACAGTGGGTTCTGCAGCTAAATTATCAAGCATCTAAAATCCTCTATTAGTGAACTATGATAAAAAAATCAAAAGCCTTACCTTTTGTATGCAAGTTATGCTTTTGGATCAATATTAGCAAAAATAAAACTTTACATATTTCCAACACAGGCCTACTATCTATACAAATCTACAACTAAAATGGAACTCATTTCTCACAATACAATGAGCGTGGCTTTATTTTCCTGAGTTATAGTTGTTAAAATGCTCAAAATCGCTCATATCGGATTGCTTTGGCCCAGTTGAAAATAATATTAACTTACATTACGATGGTAGACACCAAACATATGATCAATCAGACTCGTGAAAAGTAACTCAAGCTTAAATGACCTGTCCTTCAATACTATGTGTCCACTAACACTGTGCATGTTACTATTACGAATAGCAGTAAGAGAGAGCTTCAGACCCTTCAACTGTTGATAACAAACTTCTGTTGTCTTTGACAGTTTCACTCCGTTGACCCACGTCCAAAATGAGAATCCACGTTGAAACCAGTAATTTGAGAGATAATCATAGAGTAAAGTTTTAAATGAGTAGTGATGCCCTTCTACAGCTTCTGTAAGCATTGGTTTTAATTGTGTCATGGCCAAGTAGAAACAAGTACAACATTTTCACTTGATAACCTATTTTCTTTCATTATCAATGTACGAGTTTTTACAGTGACAGTTCCTGTCGTTTTGAGCTTTGAATTCAGCAAAATCTGTCAATGGGTGATAATCACAAACTAAAAATGTAACTGCTGAAGAGACATTTGCTGTGAGAAAGAAATTAGCTATACGGGTTTGTTACTTCATATTTTCCTTTTTTTCGAACATTGTCAGAAAGTAGATACCAGTCCTGCTTCACCGAAGGTGCTTTTAAAGCTTTTTTTCCATGACTTGAGAAGTTAAAAGTGTGACAACCCTTACCTCTGCAGCCGGTTTCCCTCCATTAGATTCGCATGTTAGTTCCACTGCCATACCAGAAGTTGTCTCCAGAAAATCGCGCTGTAGTATTCGAGGAGGTTCCGGAGGAACTGTAAAATTAACGTAGCTGTTAAAATGAGGCCCTTTTGATTGATGGTAAAACAATTTAACTGTAAAATCCATCTTACTATTTTTTTGTGAACTAGAAATGTTTGAAGTACTTTTTGAAAATATCTCAGATCGTTCCGACAGAGAAATTTTCCATTTTATTTATAATGTGCTAATGTTTGATTACACTTCTGTTGTTCTCAGTATTTAATCTAACCTAGTTATATATAGCAGAAATGAAAAGTCATGTCTTCTGCCTTAGTATTTCTTTTAATAAAGCTATTAAATCCTTTGCTTAAAATCTAATATATCAATGGTTGGCAGTAATACGGAGGTTCTATGTCTTTTAACATTCACTAGATTAGACAGATTGGCAGCAAGTTCGTCAATAACAAAGTTAGTCCACATTACTTAGTTTGACAGTGACAAATGAGAGCCAACAGCTGTTGTTATTGTGTTAGTCTGACCAGCTCCAGAACGTTATTTTACTGAAAGGTGCCACGGTAGCCGCTACGCCTTCATCAAGATCGTACACTTATAGAAGAGAAAAGTTACGATGGATAAGGCTCATTAACGTTAAATCCAAAGCCAATAACATTCACTTTGGTTTTCAATCAGTGGATGACGTGAGAAGATTTTAACTCCATGTTTCGTTTTAATAATTTTTAAAATAGTCGAAGTTTAACATGACAGTACAAAAACAGGTAGGAGTAACAGTATATAATTTCGTCCGATTAAACAGATTTGTCGATTTTTTATTGTTAAATCTGATAAAGCTTTATTTTCTACATCACCTAACTATATTTACTGTAATATGTAAAACAATGAAATAGTTCTCAGCTTCTTAGTCTTGTCATTATTTAATTTTTATTCCTCATCTAATTGTTACATTCTTACTAATTTCTGTGTTAAAATATTTCGACCCACAAGTTTAAATTTGTACACACCCATTCATGCACCTTAAATATAATTATATGAATGCACAATAAACTGTTATAAGACAATGTAAACAAGACGTCTGTAAATGGTATTTTTGTATGTTTGGATAACTATAATATTTTGAATGTAGTAACTGTATGAATTTTTTTCCACGTAGTGGAGATTCCGATTGGGGGTGTAGCAAGTTTGCGGATTTACAACGCTAAAATTTGAGGTTCGATCCCCCATAGTGGTAGGTTTCTGGTCCGACTTTAAGAATGCGCAAAATTTAAACGTAATTGACAAAAATTTTATTAGCTATAATTATTGTAGAGCAACCTTTTGATGATTAAAAAGTGATAATTTTGTCTTATGATCTGAATTACAATAGCAACTAACTTAGTTGTTATTATTGTTTAAGAAACAATTGTTTATGAAACGATAATCTAATATCCTATATTTCATCAAACTAAACATCCCAATGTACGTTTAATGTTGTTTTCGACGTTACTCACGTCCTACCTTTATGACATGCCTTATTTAGTTTTTATTAAGCATATCTTCATAGATGGACAGTGTTCTTAACATTAGTAATCAACCTGGATACAACGATTAGGAAAAATTATGGTTCAAAGAATGTTTAACATGCAAGACCATCTTTGAAATATATTTCGCTTTTAGGACACAATTTAGTCTCCCCTTCGAAGTTTCTAGAGAACGCTCAACATCACGATGATAATTAATTAATGATAGATTTTGCTATTCTAATATACCCAAATTCCATTAGCAACTGTATAGCACAGCACGTTAGATTACGTTGTTGACGAACACTGATAAGAGATAGGGACAGTGACTGATTGCGCATAATTTTCTCAGCTCTCATGATGAGAGGAGTAAAGACGGTTGAGGTGATTCTCATGTCAGTAGTTGTTCAGGGTTACGACGATAAGGAGGGTTATCAAATTTAATTTACTTAACTGTATCCAAGTTACAGATGTCTGCTTAAAAGGATTACCTTTACCAGACACTCGTGTTCACACATATTTTTATGATAACTTTTATTGGCGTTCTTACACTGCTGTTTCTTATTTGTTTTTGTTTTGGGGAGGGGGTTGTTTATACATTATTTTATACATTAAAGAACAGAAAATGAAATGAAACATTTAGTTCATAATTTGATCACTTTTATCATTAAGTCCGCACATATCTAACTGACCATCTTAGTTGTTATAAATGTATAAAACTTTGGATAAATCGCAGATCTCGCAAAAATTAATAACTGCGATATTCGCTTGTTTGTTTATCACATTGTTTCATTCATATCAGTAATCCATAGTTTTCAATAAATATAAATCAAAATAAGTGTTTTTAGAATTATGGAGTTTAAAGGTTAGAAGTTTTCAATCAAAACACTATGAAAGCGGATTTGTAATAATAACATAGAACAATATTTCGTGAAAGAAGAATCCAAGATTCTCAGTTAAAAATTCAAATATTTTAAGGCTGTTGAAATACTTTAAGCTTTAGAGCAGATAATATCTCATATGATGAAATGGTTGTGCTGTAACACTTCATTTTGTTAAATTTTCTATTGCTTTTGTGTTAATATTCAGAGTTGGAAAAAATTATCGGCCTTTCTAAAGTACAACTAAAAGTCCTATTTTGATGATACCTCTCAGAGAAATCAAAATCTTTATTTCTGCTGACATATTTTCTTGTCGAATAACGACTTACAAGTTTTTTGTTTTACTTTTATATGATAAAATACTCTTAACTCTTTAATTATCAACTTCATTTGTACTATTCACTACCGGTGGGGTCCACATATTTCATCATATATAGTAGATGTTTTCTCAGTTACAGCACTCTAAACAACTGAGAAAATAAATTGAGTAAAACATTTTATTTTCCATAGGAAATCTCAACAATACTTAGTAACTGTAACTGAAATAATGCTGATAATTTTATTACATTTTTTGTGTATGACTCATGTGTTATCACCAATGCTGCATTGAACGAAATCATGGACCCATACAACATTCGATACATAAGTAGTTTATAAAATTTGTTTTAAAACAAGCGGAATCCATATGGCTATAAACAGCAGTTCAAGGGCTGAATATAAGACGCTATCGTCAAAAATTAAACAATAATAATAATAATGCATTATAATTGTTAATACAAATATATTACAAGTATAAAATAATATATATATATTAGTGTATTCATCTGATAAAAGACTCAAAGAACAGACTTACCATAAACTGTAAAGACTGCGCTTCGAGATCTGATACCCTTCACACCATCAGAAGCCCCTACTTGACACTGAAACACGGCATCATCTTCAAGGCTGACATTAGTAATTTGAAGTGAAAAGTCTCCTGTGGAGGTAGAAAAAACACGTTTCACTTCATGTGACAAAACCTGAGCAAAAACGTTATAAATACATCGGGCTTATAAAGTTATTTGAATACCACAGAGATTTCTAGTGTCTGGTATAATGCTATCTGAGATTGAAAAGTAGAATCCAAAAAATCACCGTGGTGAAACTTTTAATAATATATATATATATATTGTTATATATATAGGTAATGTAATAAAATTCAAATACATCTTTAAAATAATACGAACTTTTTTACAACCCGTACATTACATAATTTCTAAAACAATTTTAAAGCAAATGCGTTCCTGTAAATCATAACCATATGACTATTAATGGAACAATTTAACTAATTCCGCAACTGATAATTTGTTAACACGTAACCATCGTGGATGGTTTTATAAAGTTTTATAAACTGAGCTTCCTAAATAAAGGTTTTTTGTCAATAAAAAACGCTGAGGGCTAGAGTCCTTCCTTTACAAAGGATTGACTTTTTCGCTTTTTTTTAGAAATTTCGCTATGGTCATTAAAGTTGTATTTGTAATCCAACATCTCCAGTTAGTCACATTGGTTCAAACAGCATAAAATGAATGATATAGCTACCGCACGTAACAAGAAATAAATAATGTAGCTATTGCAAGCAACAAACTAAATAATACATCTAGCTGGTGAACTTAATAATACGATTTCCAAAGCGATGAAGTACCATACAAAATAGATACAGATAGATATAGTTTTTAAATATATCAACAATAATTTGGAAGCTGTACCTGTGGATGAAAACTACTGGTAAATGAAGGAAATTGTTGTTTCTAGCTTCTATTGTTTCTTTGAGTTTCTGAACATCTTAGCTCTCTGAAATCACCGACCATACGAACTTGATTTAAATCGAATAATATGTAAACTTAACCAGGCTTGTAAACATGAGAAAAACTCCATAACCTAAAATTTAATGAAATATACTGCATTATTTTCTGTATTATTGTAAGTTCCTATGCTTTCAGTGTCGCCTAATTTCATTACAATTTATAATTCGGTTCTCGATTGCATTTTCAGATTTTTCTGACTCATACTTAGAAAAGTAATTGAATTACAATAAGATAATGTAGAAAATAACAGTCAAAGAAAACCTACCATTTATTTGTACAAATTTTTATATATACTTTTTCCGATTCAAATTATTCTTTCGTGTGATGATTTAGATTGTACTTCATTAGTTTTAGTGAAAGATGAGCTGAGCAATTCATGTTATATGGATTGTTTTTTGTTTGTTTTTTTAATTTCGCGCAAAGTTATACGAGGGCTATCTGCGCTAGCCGTCCCTAATTTAGCAGTGCAAGACTAGAGGGAAGACAGCTAGTTATCACCACCCACCGCCAACTTTTGGGCTACTCTTCTACCAACAAATAGTGGGATTGACGGTCACATTATAACGCCTCCACGACTGAAACGGCGAGTGTGTTTAATGGGACGGGGATTCGAACCCGCGGCCCTCAGATTTTTGGTAGAGTGTCCTAACCACCTGGCCATGCTGGGCCCTATTATATGAAGTCAAACACGTAGAAAAGAACTATATATAAACTACCATTCATGTTCGTTTCTAAACTTTTTTCAATTCGGATGATTAGACAAAATTTAGCCTAAGTAGAAACAACAACTTTCTGTAAAGGAAAAGAAAATGGAACGCTCACCTTCCTCATCGCTGCCGACCATGGTATAACGGGGAAATCCAGCTAGTGATCTTTCCGAACCGAGTCCGAAACCATCTCTCGTCCACTGTAAAGTCCCTTTCTTATGCAGCACTCGACACGGCAGAACTATTTTGTCACCTTTAATAGCTGTCCTGTCCGCAGGTTGAATAGCAAATGTTTGTTGAATAACGCCTGATAAAAAGATTTTTTCTTTAATGGTATTGAATAAAATCGGCAAAAAATATTCACAAGTTCAAAGTAATTGAATCGGAAATCAGTTCAAAACATACTATAAAATTATTCTATACTTACATATATAAACCAGTATCTTTCAACTTGTATATTAGTTTTAGCAGATGCAGCTGTTGAAATGTTTTTTTTATATCAAAAATTTCAAATAACTTGAACATCTTTGTAAAAACATAGTAAGTTTATTAGGGTTAAAAATGTTTGTACTAAACTTTAGTTTTACATCATGTGATGGCTAAACAAGTTTCATTTCTTTAAAATAAAATTTGGCATCGGGGTTTTTACCACTTTTTATCCTGAACAATAGGTTATTGTATTTTAGTAATTTGGAGAGAGGAAACAATCTCATTTTTTATAGAATTGTGTATAAAATAATCGTTGTTTTTTAAAATTGTGAGTTTTTAAGTTTCATTTCATTTGTTTCTGTAAAAAGCTAAGATAAAATTTATTTTAAGAATTATGATGAGTTAAAGATAAAAATTACTGACATTAACAAGTAAATAACAGGCTAGCCACCAATTGAATCCTTATCTTACCTAGAGGAGATCCTAGAGACTGCATCACCTGAGCCAACACCATGAAACTCAAATGAACTAGACATAAGGGTGAGCGTAACTGCTGGGAAAACAAGTTTTGTCTATTAGGCTTCATCTCTCCCTCGGTCGAAGGACATTGTTCCTTATCTCTTCTTTTCATTATTAAGGCGTATTTTGATTTACGTCAGCTACAAGAAGCAAAGATTCCCTACGGGAAGATAAAATCCTTATGTTTCCTTTTGGTGATAAAGTGCATGACGTCAGGTTAGTGTTTCATCATCACCTTCTTGGAGTCTTAATCATTGGTTAAGTTTGTTCTGCATTATCGCTGCGATAGTCAGCTATTACGATCGGACATAATTACTAAGGACGTAATAACTGACCTAAAGCAAGTCAATACAAGTATGGCGAAACTTTTCCAGAAATGATTAATCACCAAAAACGAGCAGAAACCACAAAATTACATTGTAAAATATCCTAAAACGAAATAAGTTTAATAACTTAATGATAAATTTCCAGGTTATAAAAATTGCTAATTTCATTAAGTCATAATGATATATAAGTTAACAATATCTGGTAGAGTACCATTGTTTCCGATGAATTTAATTAAAACAATTTAGAAATGTATGATAATTTTAGATAAAACGCTTTTATTATCATTACAAGAGCTCTCTTAAATCTCTTATGGTTAACTGTGATACATGAATTTTAATACTCAATGAAACTTATATTGTTTAGATAGAATTCCTGTAAAATAATAATTCATACTTGAAAATCAGAGTAAAATGTAAAAACCTACAATGTTCAATGATTAACGTAGTATCACCGGACAGGAAAATTGTTGTATATACAGTAGTTAATAATGTAAATCAGAAATTTGTAAGTGAAGATCTACATATCATATTACTTGTCCAAAACTTTGCTTCTTTCAAGCTAATTTCTTTATTACCGAAAATAAAATCATATTTTATACCACGATTCAACCAGAGTCGGGTATGTCTCCATTCTGAAGATGTCACGTTATGTACTGATGTGGCGTAAAATAACTTACTAAAAACATGGTTCAAATTGAATATTCATTTTGTTGTGCAACAGTGGTCTATATTAAGTTTAGTATGTTTTAAAATACTACTGCGTTATCAAAATTCTAAACATATATGTCTGCTACAAATAATTCCAGTACATTCAAAACATTATTTCTTCTTAAGTAAGACAGCTTTAGGGCACTAAATAACACAAATGTTTACAGGAACTTACAATTAACCAAAGCACAATACGCTTTTTAACCGTACAAAATCAGAACTAGTGTGCCGTATCACGTTTCGCTACTGCATGGATAAGGACTCAAGAAAGACACTCGTTATCAAGAATGATTTTAGTATATTTTAAGTAGATCAAAAGCTGTGTACCAAGGTACAAATAACTTGATTATTGCCAATCAAGTGCAACACAGCTCTAACAAGGAGATTTTAGTTGCATCAAAAAATAAAAATCACACACACACACAAGATGTAATTATAGAGACACAAGCTAACTATTGTATAAATATCTTCTTTATTGCACTGACTAAATAAAGGATTTCATAGCTCATTAAGTTTTTTTTTTAACTTTGTTGATATGTTACTAAACTCATATTACAAATGGTAGATCCACTTCAATGATAATGATATTCTGGTGAAACCAACACCAAAAACTGTGTTTGTAAGTTTGTTTTGAATATTCGAAGAAACTGCATAAAAGCTAGCTGTACTAGCCTTCCCTAATTTGATACTTATAAACAAGAGGAAAGGAAGCTAGTCAAAAGAAACCCATAGCACCACCCTCGGGCTACTGTAATCCAATAGTGATATTTGACCGTCACTCTTATCCCGCACCCACAACCTCAAAATGGGTAGCCCTCCCTCCGCCGCTAAACGAAAAAGAAACCATTGACTTTCGAATCCACAACCCTTCACGCAAACCACTAGACCCCGCACTCCTGTCCTAAGAAAGACAAAATCCTCTATAATTGTTAGAAAACCTAGGATGGCCCTATTTCTTCTTTCGTACGAGGCTGGTGATGGTTGTTTGTTTTATATAGGTTGCATCCGTACTTATTAGTGAACGGTGACACAATAACTTAGAATTTAAGCCATATAGAATTTAAGCCAGTAGCTGCATACACACACAAAATAAAAACAGCTTTGTACCAATTTCATAGTCAAAATCGCTTTATTAACCGAATATATACCACTACTTCCAGTGTGACTGACTTGTTGCTAAAGGGTGTTAAACAAAGGTAATGGGAATATTTTATGTATGTAAGCCGCATGGATTAAAGGAGTTTATTTTAGATAATTTATAAAAGCGTTAATGAAAAATAACGAAATTACTTTTGTAAGTTTCGAATGAGTGAGATGGCTCTATACTTTACAACGCCAACTAGTGATAATGAGAATACATTAACACGTAAACGCCATTATTGTTTAGATCGGTATCTGTAAAGTTACTCTGGTGAAAACATACTTGCATAAAAAGTCAATTTCAACAGCTATTGTAGAAGTAGGTTGTGTAAGTGTGGACGTGCGCTAAGAGAACAGAAGCGATATTGCATTTTCTCGACACGTGATTAAATAAAAGCATGTACGTAAAACTTCACATTTATGCAAAATACAAAAAAAAACAACAACAAACAATCATACAGTAAATTAGAGCCCACGAGTCAATTCTTTAAGCAAAATGCAGTGCAAGAAGGTCTTGATATCAACAGTGACTTTGTATCAAATTACAATTAAGATTCGCGTTTATTTATAGTTTCGTCTAGTGCTTATACTGTTTGAGTATAGATATAAAAACTGCTTTACGACGTGGATCTTCAAGAACGAAAGTTTGTGTTTGATTATAGATTACTGAATTAATTAACATAAAAGGAAAATAAATCGAACCTTATAGGATGAAGCGTTAGAATAGCATCAACTAACCACCGTGGAAGAATAAAATTCAAGTATCCTAATATTGGTTCGTCACTTGAATTAACGAAAACAGACATTTTTTTATAACAACCTTCAAAAATATTTGTTATTTTAAGAGATACTTTAACGGAAATACTGTTGTATGTAACAGATGATTGAATTATAACTAGAGTTAACTCTCTTCGGACGCTATCGCGGGTCAAACCTAACCACATTTAATTAAAAGCAACAAAAGCTGACGTTATAATAATAGGTATCACTAAAGCATTACATTAACCTGAAAGGCTTAACAAACCGAGTAAAAGTTTAGCTCTTGTTACTTCATTGATTACAGAGAACGCTAAGCTATAAAGATTGGCTTTGGTCCACCTCATGGGAGGAAGATTTAACTCAAGTTTCATGGTTACGTTATTCCCACAGCATGAAAGTTTGATTAGTACATGGTTCCGGAAATCGTACATAAACAAGGGTGCATTAAAGTATCGCCTAATGAAAGTACAGATACTCTAACTTTACGAGATGTATACTTTAATTTGTAAGTAGACATGACAATGTTCTCTGTGAATCCTGTCTTCCTTCCACGTTAAGCCTAAAGATGAACCACGTCTTAATATTATTCCAAATGTCACTTATTTTTCTCATTACTGACTATCAATAGAGATTATAACAAATATCTCCTCAGTAGTAAACCAAGACATAACTGATGGATTTTTGTCCGAAAGATTGACCAGCTCTGCACAATAAAACAAAATGGGTAATATTACTTTTTTTTTCTTGGTGGATTTCGCGGAAAGCTGTACGACGATTATCTACTCTAGCTGTTTCTAATTTCGAAGTGATAGACAAGAGGGAAATCAGCTAGTCAACATCGCTCTCCGCTAACTCTTTGGCTATTTTAGTCAGACCCACTGGTGGAAATTGAACTTAACTCTAAAACGTATCCATGGCGCCAAAGTGTAAAGCGTGTTATTTATTTCTTTTCTTTTTTCGTTGTAGCGGACGCAAGCCACGGAATCTCAGCTCCAAAGTAAGGCACGCTAATCATTGGGCCGCACTTGGCCAAAGTGATATTAAAAATTAAACAATAATATATATATATATATCAAGTATAAGATAACCAATGCTTCTTGTTTTCATCAGTATCACCTGTGCATGAACCTTTTAATGAGCATTTACAAAACGTATTAAAATCTAACACACAAGTCTTAACTTCTTTAATTGTCTTATATTCACTAGAAAAGACTAAGTATGTCAGATCGAACAATAACTTTTAGTGTTAGATGTAAAGTTTTGAAATCATCTACAGAAAGTAATTACAAAAGCACAAAAAAATAAGGCATGCTCAACGAGAAGCATGTTTCATTTGTGTTTTTCGCAAGAAAATAAAGTATATTTGTTTCCAAATAAATTTATAAATCTTGTAATCGATTAAGTTGAGCATCATTCCCAATTTTTCTGTAAATTGGTTTGACTGAGTCTCATCAAGCAAAGCTCGCGCTAGTAACCTTGGTAAAATATCGTTAATACTACATTTCTTCGTTGTTGTTTTTCTCTCTCTCTCTGATCTACATAGGTGATGTAACTTAACACCAGAGTATTCGATGATCAATCACCCGAACTGAACAAAACCCCACATGATTTATCAGCGTATAATCGTAGCTGTCTGATCAGTGTCGATGACGTGGTAAGAAACAAAAAAGTGATCCAATCGCTGTTCTCCTACAATTGTTTCTAAAGAAAAATATTACATTTCTCATAAACCAATCGGCCTCATGCTTGTAAGAAATTTCCTGAATTCTATGATTATGTCATATCGTTCTCTAATTGGTTATTATTGTATTTAGTTTTTTTATACTGTTGTAGTTTTTTTTTAACACGAGCCAATTATCTTTAACAATGCATTTAACTGAAAGCAATTGAATCAGGATTTTGGAGGTAGAAATAACGAAATGTATACTGTAAGCGGGGAAGTAAGTAAAATATCAAGATTTTAAAACAGACTCTGGAATAAATGATATCAAGTTTAAAAGGAAAGATATCAAGTCGTTTGTCTGAGTATTTATTGCCAAAGAGCCTATATTATTTCTCAAACGAAAGCATAACAACAAGTCTAATCATAGGCTAACAACAAAGACGTGAAGAAGCAACTGCGTTTGGCTTAAGAAGTTGTATAAATCGTGACAACCAATTATTGTAGTTAACCGTTGTGACCCTACAACTCCTGTATCGTCAGCTTTTCTTAGAAACCTTTTTATTT